AGCTCGCCCCATCTCTGACTCTCTGTCCCTCTCTCTCTGCTGGCTGCTAACTCGGCCACTCTCAAAACTTTGACTCAGTCTGAATCTGCAGAGAGAGAATTTTTCACTGTCCCGGTCTCAACAACCAGTCACCGACAGCCGAGGGCTCTGACACAGAACAAACATTTTATTGTGAAGGGACGACGACACGTGACACATTTGAATCACGTAAAGACAACTGGTTTCCTCTGCCTCATCTGAAACTTTTATTTTTGAAACACATGAAGCTTAAAAATGCCTCAAAACTACAGCATCAGATTGATTGTCATGATATTGATCGCCCACACTTTTTTGCGATAAATCCGCCGATAACTGTCAGTGAAAGGTTTTAAAAAGGTTGGAAGGATGCAATGGAATTTCAAACAGACATTCATGCTTCCTCCTTCCTGATGATTGTTGGAATTTTCATCTAGTTCCTTCAGCTGATCAAAATGTGAATGAATTAAAAAAAATTTAAGAGGTTTTACAAAATCAAAAACTATTCACCTTTTCATCAGCCATTTGTAAGGAAGCCCTTAGGGGACATACATCCAAACATTTTATTTTACTTAAATTTAATTTCTCAGGTTCTCAAAGATAAAAACTTGAATTAACTTATCATGAGAAACGAGTGTTGTTATCCCGAGATAAATAAGTCGAGATCTCGAGAAAGTTACCAAGTTGTCATGGAAAAACGCATGAACCCATGTCCTCTTTGGACTTCTGTGCTTTTGAGATCCCTGTGAGGTTGTTAACACATAACGTAACCCGTTAGGCTATGTCCACATTATATTTCCTCTTTTTGGATCATCATCTTTAGAAATAATCTGTTCAAACAAGCGTTTTAGCACAGTTTAAAAGTTAACCTCTGTCCATGTTACACTCTTAAAAGCACATACCAAACAAAGCAAACTATTCAGACCTTTAAACAGTCATGTCGAAAGCATAACTTTTGTGTAGTTTAAGACTTTACCCGGAGTTTATACGGCCAGACCCGTAGTATTTTATCCGCAGAAAGTCCGAGTGAGCTGATGTCTGAACGCAGCCGAATATACTCCGGAGATTTTCAATTCGAGCCAATGAAAAGAGAATGACGTTTATATACAGTGACCGGCTAAAGTGTCTGCCCGCGACCATTACGATCTCCGTGCACGTAATTAAACGGCTGCATTATGTTTTCTGTTTGTCAGTATGTTGTTCTCCACTCTTTTGTGGATGTTGTCATTCCATTGGATTACACATAGCATTGATATAAAGGCTAATATTCTCATTATAACGTCGTGTAGCGGACTCTGTTGCTACGGCCGCTACTTCTGCGTTGTTTCTTTACGTCACGTCTTACCTCAGGAAATCCCCCGATCCCCCCTCCCCTCTGACAGGGAAAGTCCCCCGCTGTGAGGAGCATATGTGAACGGCTAGGTCGGGAGAATCTCCGGAGAAGTCCTACTGTAATTATCTAGATATTATCCGGAGTGCATATGTGAAAACGGCTTTAGACAGCATTTGAGAGACTTTTCTTGACCCTGTTTCAGTTTAAAAATCCGAAAGGTGAGATTAATTGTTCATAGGTAACAAAAAAAAAAGTGTTCTGTGCTCTTAATTCTGTTTACTTAACTTTCTCTGGATCAATCTGTCTCGTGCTTTTGTCTCTTCTTTCTTATTCTCATTGCTGTTTGTTTAAATCACTTAGATATTCCTCTTCCTGGTGTTTTTTTTGGCAGCCCCATCTGTCCCTTCGCTCATTATTTTTCTATCTCTTATTTCCTCCCACCTTATTTCTCTTTTCTCCTCCTTTAACTTGTTTCCTATCTGTGCACATCTCTGTATATCTCTCTATTATCTCCGCCTCTCTTCCGCCTGTCTCCTCCATTTTCTCGTTTATCTTCTCCCTCTGTCCATTCCCTCTCTTCCTCGCCCTCCTTTCTGCTTCACCTCCCTTGAACCTTCCTTCTTCTTCTTCTTCTTCTCCTGTCCCTGTAGCATGCTGCCTTCACATCAGTTAGCTTGCTCTCCATTAGCCTGCTAGCTGTGCGTTCTCATCCACGGACAGGTTTCACATGGCATGGTCAGCTAGCTTCAGGCTAACCAAGGCTAACTGTTTTTCCTAGAGGCCCTATGAGTTGGATAACAGTCTCTTTTTCACACACACACACAAACACACACAGACACACACACACACAAACACAGGGTATTGTCATAGCCATGCCACTCATTGTCCGTCAGTGTCCTGCTCTCAGCGTGGACGGTCAACACAGATACTAGTCCATCCTGACATGTCACACAACACTGCAGAACACAACACCTGCAGCAACATTCAAATGATGCGATCATGACACACGACACAGATTGTTTCTGCAGCATGGACCTCAGCCAAGCTTCAAATGTCCAGTGAGACGAAGAGGAGATTTACTGAACCAAACACAGGCAACAACAAAAATCTGTGGATCACTGCGTATTTTAAATGTAGCAGATATTTAGATAGAAAAATTGTGTGCACTTAAGAGTAACTCCTGGTCAATAGTAGAAAGTACAAACACTTTGAATTGCTCAGGTAGATTTCTTCAGCCCTCAGCAGTGACACAGGCTGTAATGGCTGTAATCCTTTGGGGAAAATGTCCACTAAAAGTTGTTGTGTTTTCCCCAGACAGACTCAGATTGTTATTATGACAACAGAAATGAAATAGACCTTTTTGTCACAGAATAAGATGCTTTTGGGGCAGAACATTTACTTTCATACTTCGTCAGAGCCACCAGACTCCATTGAGATAGGTCCTGATTTTAAATGCAAGTAGTTTCTACAATGCTTTCTCAATCTATTTCTTTTTGTGTTACACAGTTGTTGTTGTTGTTGTTGTTGTTGTTATGTTGGACTAACTCGTCATTAAAGTTGACGTATTATGCTGATCCCCATTTTAAATCTCACATATAGTGCTTAAATGCTGGAAGCCCATTGTTACGACCAGCCTAGGGGAAACTTTGCCCATACTAAACATTGGCAAAGTTTCAGATCATGAGGTAAACGTATGTTGGAGTAATCAAAGGATAAATCTGGTCACCGATTTTTTCATCAAATCACACCATAGTTCCAGACATGAAGTAAATAATTTCTTCAAGCCTCTACGTAAGCTGTTGAAATCTCTTACATAGGCTCTCTTCTCCAAGCACTTGAGAGCAGCCCTTCCCTGGCAGCCCTGCAGCGTTCTGCCCCATAGAAGGCTTCCAGAGAGCTGGCCAATCAGAAGAAAGTGGGCATGTGAGGAGGAGGGCCTTAAAGAGACAGCAGCTGAAACAAAACATTTCTTTTTTTTTTGACAGTATGTGAACAGCCAGGTCAGGAGAGTCCCCCGGAGCAGTCCTCCTGAAATTATCTAGATATTTTCAGGAGTGCGAAAACGGACCTTCCCAATAATGATAATGGCAACTTAAGAGTTCACTAGTTAGCTAACCTGACACCTTTTTGTTTTGCTTGTTAACTCAGTATTTTTCTTAATTACCACTTTTACATTGATAAGCTCAGCACTTTTTTGTGCAAAAAAACTTCTGTCTCCAGCCTCTCAGGCTCTGCCTCAGACTCTGAGAACAACAATATTTGCAGCACTAAAGACTCAATCTGCTCTTTATTTGGTTTCTGTCTCAGTGATGAGACGGGGACATGATGAAGCCTAATCAGCCTCCATCTTTGTTCTGTTTACATTTTCAGCTCAGAACCGTCTGCAGTTTGAAAAATAAATGTTTTCGCTCTCAGTCAGACAGACTGTATGCTGAAATGGTTATTGAAGGTTATAAGTGACAAGCCTCCATGTTGGATGAGTGACAGGAAAACAAAGAGACAGTGATGTTTTTGCCTCCTCCTCCCTGACAAAACAAAAGCTTCTCACACTTGTCCTCTTTAGCTCAGAGCCCATGGAAAGTTCGGCGACAGAGAGCTCAGGGATATTTATCTGGAAACTGTTACACTGTTCACACGTGTAGAAATTAAACAAAAGCTCACACTGAGTTCTGGACGGGAGGAGGATTCATCCCGGGGCTGGTGGGAGATGCTCATGCAAAGGAACCCAAAATAAGGGTTAGTTTCTAACATAAGAGACTCTGCGGAGTGACCCCCTCCTGAGAGGATCCAGTTGTAGCATTTTACAGAATGGGATGTTTAGGGTGTGTCTTTAAGGACAGTTCTCTATCAGAGGGAGCGAATATCATCCTGTAAAGGGAGAAAACAGGGTCTTTGCAAAATAATGCATACATCTGTACACTTTTTAGGTCATCAACAAGATTTGTTTACTCATTTGTCTCTCAGGGCTTCCATAGAACTCAGACTTGCAATGCACTTCTTGAATAATCAGCCTCACAGTGGACAGCAAAAAGGTTTAAAAGCGATGTATCTGTACAAAAGTATCACTCAGTAATCCTCACTTTTCTTCAATTAACATACCAGACGCCTACATTACCCACAAAGCAACAAAGCCACCAGCTATTCACCCTAAAATTCATGCCAGAAGGGGTTAATGTAGCCTGCAGCAGATATGAAAAGCATGCAACAGAAGTCTTATTTTCTTTTTTAGGGAAAATGCAAAGTCTCAAATCGTTAAAACAATCTTTCTGAAGCAGTACAGAATAAAAAAACGTTTTGATCGTCAAACTAGAAGATCCAGATAGGAGGCATTACAATATTCCTTGATTTGAAGTACAAATATCAAGCGTTTGTTATGATTTTTTTAAGCAAAAATGAATCCAAAGTGTGAAAGGCTGAGCACTCATTATGTAAAATAAAAACACTACCACATCTTTCTATTCTCAGTTAACTTGCAGACAACCCAGTTTACAATCACAAGCACCACACAGTTTAGAAGCCATCACACAAAACCGCAAATCTTTTTCAACAAGCTTGATCCTTAAATAAAAGGTAGGTCCAGTTCAAACATCCTCAGCCACCATTAAACTTTCCCAGCTTTCAAAAGTTTAACAAAGAGAAAACGTTCACTCACCCTGCGTCGCTGCCGTTCCCACAGATTAAGGCATCCTTGGCGCCCTCCACTTTGTAAAAGTTGTCTAAAAAGAAACAAAAAAATGACTCTTTAGATTAAAATCTCTAATGAAGTTTAAACTCAGCTCAGAGTACACTTCCTCCTCCTCTGTCATGATGTTTTTTTTTTTTTTTTTTTTTTTTTTTTTTTAAAGATTAGTTTTTTGGGCTTTTTGTGCCTTTAATTGAGAGATAGGACAGTGGATAGAGCCGGAAATCGTGGAGAGAGAGAGTGGGGAATGACATGCGAGAAAGAAGCCACAGGCTGGATTCGAACCCGGGTCGCCCGCTTGGAAGACCATAGCCTCCATACACTGTTGAAATGTGCTATATAAATAATCTTGCCTTGCCTTGCCTTACACACCCAGGATCCACCCACACAGGGTTTTTTTTTTAACCTTTCAGTCTGATCAGGGGTGCGTTCAATCTGACAACCTTGTTCTGTTTTGCTAAGATTTTCCGACTGAACAGCGTTTTCCCAGAAATGTTTGCAACAGGTTGTGTGTGATGTGTTAGAGGTTGACCTAAATGAGCAGTGATAAAACACATGTCGCTTCGTAGTAGGAGCTGAACATAGCCCAGCCTTCTGTGGGGATGCAGAAGCTGAACTAGGATACATTCAAAATATTAGATAATAATAAACCACATAAGAGCCACACAATAACAAAATAAAATCAGCAACTCCCACGTTATGCAGCGCTGTACCTAAAAGTCTTTCAGACCCTGCGATATGTAAAAAGAAGAAATAAAAGCTTCAAGTTTAAAAATATTGAAATATTTTTTAAGAAGGTTTAATGTTGTGAACTCTGCATTTAAGTGGAAGACTCACAAAACCATTAAACAGAAAGACAGGTTTCTCTTCACATACACACATATTCCAAAACTTTCCTCCTTAATAATCCAAATAACTAAACTTGTAAATGTAAAAGTGTTTCCAGTAAGTTCTGGCAACCCTTCCTGTACTTTCTCTTGCACCACAGAGTCAGTTTGTGTTCATCTCCTCGGCTGTCTGTCCGTGTTACCGCAGGATCGATAAACTCATCAAACTCCGCTTGTTAGACGCTGTCTGAGCAGGAGGCCATAAAACCAAAACCATTAGAGGAATCGCTGTTTGCTGAGCATTTAACACTGAATCTGACCACAAACCACTGACAAGGACATTAATACAGCTAACAGCTCAATATCATTACATGGAGTGTTTCTCCAGCCTGAACACACAGAGGTATAAACGCTTTTTAATGCACGTTAAGGAAGACAATAAGTGCTTCCTCACTTTTACTTTGGTTTTAAAATGCGGTCTTTAATTATGAATGAGGGAGGGTAAAGGAATTTAACCAGCCCTGTTCTAAAGAAAAACTGGTTTCAGATCAGAAACAGGGATAGGTGTTTTAGTAATGGACACAGCTTGCAGAAATCTGTTACTTTGTGGTATTAAAACAATGATGTTCTGGTTAAATAGGGGACAATTTCAGGAGAGCTTTGTATTTGAAAATCAACAAACAAACAAATAAAGAAGAGTCTAATACATAGTTTAATTAAAAACTGGGCCTCAAGATCAAACGAAAAGATCAGACCCGAGATAACCTGAGATCCAACACTGACCCAGAGATGAACATTTTGGCTTATTATGCCAGTTATTTTTCCTGTTTCCACAACTGTAACCATTACTCTCCTGCCCCTGATTCCATCATTAGTAAACCCTGTTTGTACATCTCCTTGACTACCCTGCTCTCCATCTGGATCGTCTTAAATCTAAGAATTGCCTTAAAACAAAAAGTTGGGCAACTTAGCACTTAGCATAATATGAAAATGAGGATCTAATCAGTGTTAACATGTTCCCTTCTGTGACCCTTTTCCTAAAGAAATCAAACAACATCAGCCTTGATTTGCAGCGTTTATCTCAACATGAAACATGAATTTAAAGGCTCGCCGGCTGTCTTTACCACCAGTGTTGGGAGTAACGAGTTGAGCATGTTACTAAATGAGTTACTGTAAACCGTCGTTGTCTAAAAAAGTGCCTTAAAGTGTAAAAAAAGATCTCCTCCTTCTCGTGACTTTTAACATTAGCACGGGGAGTTTGATTGTTTTGTCGTGAGACGCTGTTGCTCTGTGAGTCAACCTTACATAACAGAGTGGAGAACCTGACAGAAATCGGAAGCAACTCTTTCCACTGACACAGTGACCTTAAATTCTGGCTTGACATTTTCATCCATTCGCCTGACAGGAACAAATACTCAGGTTACTAATCTTTTATTCAACACGCAATTCAGACCACATGTATTTAACCGCAGCCATTATGACCGATTACACAGAGTGCAGATAGAAAAATATTAATACGGCCATCATGTTCTTATCACACTAAATGCACTCTGGGAGACGAAATGAAGCTGCTGCACTTGTGCGAAACAAAGTTGAAGCACTTTTCAGTCAAACCACAGCTCGTCAGAGGAAAACAAAGCATTTCAAAGTTTCAAAGTCTGCAGAGAAAAAAAAACAAAGCCTTGCTCTTCTTCTATGCTTTATTGTGGCTGTACATGTGCAAAGTTTCCGCCTTTTGACAAACAAAACGGGTTCTCTGGTGCTTCTGACCACGTCTGACCGCCGCTGCACCAAAGGCACTTAAGCCTTTTTAGGAGCGCGGCCATTCATTTGTTATCGAGTGCATCAGGGAGGCTGCATCCCTGCTCGCCAAACAAAAACTTCTGAAGTCTGGAGTGCTTTTGTTCACCAACTCAAAGTAACCACAAGGCTGTTAGGCAGCTCTGGGATTAGTCACTGAGGCTTTTTCTCCCCACACAAAGCACATAGGAACAGTCTAGTTGTTACCTGAAACTTCAGGTGTCCAAAAGTCTCCTTAAATACATGCATATTAGTCCACAGACTGACATTTAATAGAGGGTTTTTCAGAGCGACCCCCATCTGAGAAGATTGTTACAGAGCTGCAGAAACCAGGAAAATTGTCTCCATGGGATGTCGAGAGAGTGGGCTTAATTTCATTTCTTTTCAAACTCGAGAGCAGCAAATTACTCTGACAAGCCTGAATACATCTCCACCTCCCCATCGCGCATTTTCACCTGCGAGAAAATTCATTTACATGATGGAAATCTGCAGGAACATGACAGAGAATTATAGGTCAAAGTGAAATATGCTGAGACACATAGGAACACATTGAAGAGGAATTCTGGTACTTTTAAACCTGGGCCTTAGTTTTTTTTTTTTTTTTCATTACATATTTTCAGCCACAATATGTAAAAAATATAGAAAGTTTTGGAACTGCTCTAATACAGTGGTTCTCAACTGGTGGGTCAAGACCCACAAGTAGTTTGCGGAGCCTTTGTAGTGGGTCATGAATGTATGCCTGCTATTTGCTGCTTTTTAAACTTTTGTTTTTTTCCGTTTCTTTGTCACATGTTGTGTACCATTTGGGGTCCAAACTGCCAATTTTCCTGAAATCAATCTGATTGGTTAGAATCTGATTTAGACGGTTTATACAAGAAGACTTACTTGTCATTGTATTTATTTGATGCTTTATTCAAAAAAGAAATTAAGAAGGAACGAGGACCAAATAAAGATAATATGTTGTTGCCAGGTAAAGTCAAGTCACACACATACTGCTAATAAACAAATTCAATATGAAGAGTTTTCTGCTTTAGCCGACGAGCACAGCTCCAATCTTTCGATCGTCTGCTGCTGTTGGTCGGCTCTGAGCAGACAGACACTCGGCATGATGGGAAATGTTTAGCATGGACAACATCCAGCATTGATCTCTAACTGAGGGCTGTTTTCTGATCAGCCTGACGGGACGGGCTTCATCGCCGCGGCTCGGCTCTCAGGTTTCACGGCAGCCTTTTAAAGGTCGATACGGGAGCCTGCAGGGGACACGTGTTTGATGTGATGGATGGCAAAGCAAACTGGAAAAGAATAAATAGAAGCAACATTGGGAGAAGGAGCAGCACGTCCCGACAAAGCTTCATTACTGTAAGCTGTAAGTTCTATTTATTTTTAGCGGTTTCCCCCTTTAACTCCTGACTTTTTTTTATCAGAGCAGGCCTTCTTTCGCCCTCCTCCTCCTCCTTACTGCTACATTATTACTTTAAATAATGGCACATCTGGATTTGGATAATGAGGGAGTCTGTTTGTCCTGGATTTTAATTCTAGGGGGAATTCTTCTGTTTTTGATGGAGCGTGAATCTACTCCCTCTGCTCCAAACCTGACAGAAATGTTTTTAAAACACGTTCATAAACTTCAGCTGGTTTGTGTTTTTTTGTGTTTGTAGTTTTTACTTTACTTGAAGGGATAATGGTTAAATACATTGTTTACACTTGGATTTTAGAGTCCGGCAAATCAGGTAAGTTAGTTGGTGTCATGGGGGCCAGATCCACAAAAGGATTGCGCTGCTTCTGTGGGGGCTAAACCTGTGAGAGAAAAAGATAGCGTGGAGTCCACAAAGCAAGAGTCAACGACTGAGCCACATCCGACAAATGGGCGAATGGTATTTGGTGGCTTTGAGAAATGTAATGTTGAAATCATACAAGTGAAAGCTTGACAAAGAGCAACACATATTTTAGTGACAAAATAAAAAATAATCAAATAAGATAAAGAGTAAATAGGACATTTAGACAAAAAATAATTCAAAGAGACGGGGAAATTATGAAAACGTAAAATGAAATAATATTTGAGAGAAAAGACATGGGTCATCAGTGACAGAGAATAAAGACATAATAAATAATAAGGCAAAGAATATATAAGAGAGAAAATATTTAAAAGAGGTAATAAGCCATGTCTTTCTACTTGTTTCTTCCATGGATGATTTGCTGTGTTCACAATAAGTGTGTCTCTGTGCGTGGGTAAGTGTGTGTGTGTGTGTGTGTGTGTGTGTGTGTGTGTGTCTCTGTGCGTGTATGTGTGTCTCTGTACGTGTATGTGTGCGTGTATGTGTGTGTGTGTGTCTGTGTCTGTGTGTCTGTGTATTTGATTAATGTACAGTGACACACGGGCAGTCCAGTGTTTTGGTTTCATGGAGAGAAAAAGACAACATGCAGCTCAGGTTTCATCCGACAGCAGCGTTAAGTGTTTCCTTAACCCTGACCTCGACCTGAGTGTGTGTGTGTGTGTGTGTGTATGTGAGATTGTGTGTGTGTGTGTGTGTGTGTGTGTGTGTGTGTGTGTGTGTGTGTGTGTGTGTGTGGCCTTACGTCCACATATTATGTACCTGGTCAACATGCCTGACATGTCAAATTGTGTATATACCAGCTGACCTCGCTTGACCTCTGTGTGTCAGTTAGTGTGTCAATCTGTAGTGTGTGTGTATGTGTTTGTGTGTGTGCATGTCTGTACACACATCACACCCCTGACAGCGTGTGCATGTGTGTCTTTATTGATGTCAGTTGTAACCACAGTGCCAACATGGTATTGTCCAGTCTGATAAAGAAACCAGCACACAAGCCCCGGAACACACATTACCAGCTACTCACATGAAGAAATGTAAAATGTTATACCTGAAAACTAAAATAGTTTTCGAAAAAAAATGTGTACATTTTGTTTATTTTTTGTGTTTTGCTAAATGTTTGGCTGAAAACCTGTTTACTTTCTTGTCTGATATTAATTGCATAGAACAAACCCATTGATGTCAGGAATGTTAATTCATTTTTAAATCCTTTGACTGTTATTTTTCCAAAAACTACAGTTTCATGACTTCCTTCACTCAAAATTTCTCAACATAAACTTATCTCTCCCCAAAACAAGCGAAATGCAATCAAATCACAAGCTGGTATTAAATGTTTGTAGATCTTCACATGGAAGAAAAAAGTTGACGCAGCAACCAACCTTTATTGTGAAGATCACCAAAAATTAAACTAATTAAAAAAACAAATTCTGTCAGTTGCTCGTCAGTTGCTCAGTCACTTGGTTCAATTCTTGTAAAAGCCCCTCTACCCTCAAAAACAAAATAAAGGTTGAGCGGATGCACATATTCCTATCAAAAGCATTAGTTCAGAGTTTGTTTCTCACCCTCGTCGTTGACGAAGTCCTTCAAGGAGGCCCACGTCTTGTTGTTGCAGACGAACGAGGTGTTGGTCGGCAGGGTGTCGTTGAAGCAGTGCGCTGTGCTGCGGACACATTTCTGCCGCAGGTTTCCCATGAAGAGCTGCAGGCCGATGAGGGCGAAGACGCTCAGACAGAAAACGGTGAGGATCATCACGTCAGCGAGCTTCTTCACTGACTGGATCAGAGCACCCACGATGGTCTTCAGGCCTTCAGGACCACCGGGGACGCAAGGATGCAATATTAATATGTATAGAAATGATACAGCAAGGGCAACAACTGCATAGAGAAAAAAATCACTCTTTAAATGACGGAAATAATTCAAAGTCTTGTTTAGTTACTTTGGATTTAAGGCTGCCCTTTTAAAAGATGAGCATTTGAATCGTTAGTCGAAAGAGTCGTCGACACATTTTGTCAGTCGAATTCCTGAAATTTTGAAACTTCTGAGCTGCACTGCATGAGCCACAATATGTCAAGCTGTAAACTTTACTTAGAAAAAAGACTATTCAGTCTTCACTTTTAACAAGATTGTTTGTAGGAAACAAAGTACATTTTGTAGGAAACTAAGTTAAATAAGAATAACATTCAGTGTCTTTGGGGGCTGTGAGCCGAGCTGCTGCTAACTTTAGCTCATAAACTCCCAATCAATCTCCATTTACTGATATTTTTTTAGCATTGGCAAGTTCATTTATAACACTGAGAAATAAATATTTTTGAAATGTTTTCATGTCTGGCAAACACGGGATGTCAGTGGGAGCTATGAGCTGAGCTGTTGTTAGCTCATTCCTTTATCATTCACAGTTTACATGTTTTACCAGGAGCCACATTTTCTTCCAAAACAATCAGATCCACTGTTTACAACCATTAAAACGCTGAAAAGAGAAGTGTTGTGTTAAAATGTATGGTCTTCCATTGTTCTCCAGCAGAATTTGGGGGCTGCAGGCTGAGCTACCATTAAGCAAATGAGCTGAGTAAATTTTCTCAGGTAAATGAAATTGTAAAAAGTGACTGTGACATCACTTTAAAAAAACAGGAAGATAATCACATGGAAAAGTTTTAATGTGTCAAGTTTTTACATGGCAGATAACGACTTTGGTGTATTTAAAGCTGCGTATTCATATGAGGAAATCTTGATTCGACTGACAAAATTCTGAGTCTTTAACAGCGCATATATATGTAGTCTTCTTCCATTTGAAACAAGCTACAAACTTCAAACTAAAGGGCAGCCATCTTTTTGCACCATAGTTACTTAGAGGACATTAATAACAAAAAACACATTCAAAGAAAATGAATATTACAGGCAATAGAAATAACTCTGCTGTGAGGAGAAAATCTCTCAATTTCAGGTGTTGTATAATGACTCATGCTGAAAAAAGTGTATATCTTGTTTTTTTTTTCCTGCTTTTTTGAAATATGGATGTTTTCATCTGACAGCAGCTTTACATTTTTTGCAAAATACTGTGAAAAAAAAGTCATCATTAAAATCACCAACAAACTAAAGAAAAAACAGGCTGCAAACTTGCCATTCAAATACAGATAAAAACACACAAAACACACACACTAACACGGAGAGGAACATATGGTAAAAACAGCAGGACCAAAACACACTCAGAACACAAAGGGTGCAGACAAGTTGACAATCCTCGGCCGATCCCACCAAATCAAAGAAACAACCAGGTTTTCTCTAAAGTTAATTCATTAGAAACAGACGCGACACACTTTTCATCAGCGTCCAAAGAGTCTCTTTTGTCATGCTGGCTCGTAGGCTCAGCATTGTTCTGGTTCATATTGTAGCGTCTGTAGGCTAATGAATGAGCAGTGTGAAAAAAATATCATTTGTAAGAGCTGCATTTACGACATGCTTTCAATGTTTCTGCTGCTGAGATGAAGTTATAACACGTATCAGACATTGTTATAACCAGCTACGTCAGCATTAATATGTTGAAATAATATGTTGAAAAGAAAGAAGTTGTTAGCGCTGCATGCTAACATGCACAGTGGAAACATACAGAGGCTAGCCAGCAACAGATCTGAAGAAATAGTTCCATCTTTGAACTTCAATTATTAGTTTATTATTTTCTGAACCAGGTTTTTTTTTAGGAGAAATACCTGTTTTCACAACAACTAAATATTTTCTTCTCTTAATGAACAATGAAATAATTCAAACATTAGCTAGATTCAGGTTAGCATCGCTGCTCAGACGTAAGATCAGAACAGTCATTACAGACAGAGCTTGGCACATGACAATTAATCTCTTAAACGGTCATTATCGGCATGTCATGTTTTATTAACTTTTTATGTGGACATTATTTAAAAAAAAATGGTTATCTGATCATTTAGCTTCTGGTAGGTTTGGTTTCTGTTAAGGATATTTTTTTGTTGCTTGAATCCACTTTAGCCAGATCAAGTCAGGTGACCTATTTTGCTCACGACTCTCAAAAGAGACGAGACTGCTGACCCTGTTGTTCTTCCTTTTCTAATAACTACGACACCATAATGTGACCATGGCGGGAAGAGAAAGAAAGTCCTGTTTCTATTCAGGCTCTCATTGGCTAAAGATGCCTCGGAATAGTGAATGAAAGGTCCTGATTGGTCAAATGAGGTGTCAATCGACTGGTCAGAGGGCATGAATTAGTGTAGAGAATACAGTTGAAAATTGGGAAACCCTGCAGAAATTTTGAAGCAATCCATGGATCTTTATGGATGTTACATGTTTGTATTAAATATTTTTAACAGATTTGGATCTTGATGACCCTTTCTGATAGAGTAGGACTGTTTTTGTTGGAATATTATGACCAGAAGAGTACAGTAGACCTTCAGACAGAAGGGGAAAATATGCTTCTACTAAAAAGCGTTGAATCATTTTTATTAGCTTAAACTCTTACTTGTTTTATTTGGATTTTTATATTGTTTTCTTCTGCCTGTGTCTCTAGGGCACTTTGCTCATCTTATGTTGTTTCAAATAGACATACATTTGTATTGACTTGTACTTCCGGAAAAACAGAACCAAAACAGTTGTAACTAGTTTTAAAAAGCATTTTGGTCATTAACACAAACGGAAATATTTAAACCAAATTGGCCTCAGTTTTATATTCAAAATGTGAATCAGTAAGAATTTTAATGAGCCGTTTTCTCTCCTCTTTTATTGTGTGAATTTTTAAAGGTAAATAGTGAAGTTGCTTTTTGCTGAGCCTCTGATGTCCACTCAAAGCTGATATCAGCAAGACTGTAGCGTTTATTTCTGCAGACCACCTATGCACACAAAAAATGTGTGTAAAGCATTCAGTAGGTGGTATGCAGAATGAGATCTCAAACAGAGCCCATGATTCAGAGCTTCCAGAAGGCTCCGGCTGAGAGGGGAGCGTTCGGTATTCACTCCCCTTGTGTTGGCGTCCTCACCTGGGATGACAGAGATGGTTTTGAGCGCTCGCAGTACCCTGAACGTCCTTAAGGCTGACACATTACCCAGGTCCACAAACTCAGTCACATATCTGCAACAGGCCGGGAGACAGAAGCACAAGAACAGACACACACAGAGGGGTATGACCACACTGAGCAACAACGAGCCAGCACAGAGGGAGAGAAGAAGAAGACTGGAGATACAGAGAGAGAAAGAGATACAGCAGAGACAGGCCGGGTTGGACGGCAACACTGGAGGTTCAAGCCAAACATCAACTTCATAAGAAGGGGAAATCTGATGGTCAAAGCTGCTCGCATGGATATTAAACTGGAGAAAAAAAATCTATCTTGATAGTTCAACGTTTCCAAAGCAACATCAAAACAGATCCTTAAAGTTAAATTGATTTTTTTCACATGATTTACCCCACTAATTATCTTTGCAATTATAAAGCAACATTATCTAGGAATTTGGTTTGGTGCACTTTGGCGCCCACCAAAGGACATGAGTGCAACTGCACTGTAGTAAGCGACACATAGAGCTGTAACACCTTCCCCCGCGGACAACGTGTATTTGTTGACAAGCAGAGTGTAGCTTAAGAACCATGTCAACGTACAAGGTTCAGTAATATTACCGGATTTACTCTGCTACCGCCTACAGCCCGTTGTTTGAGACAAACTTGGGTTGAATGACTTTCTGCACCAGGTAAAGCTGCTAAACATAAGACAACGATGACACTGATCACCATACAGTCTAACTTTGTGTCAAAATCTGTTGTGAATAATTCCCAAAGTGGTGTGCACTCTGCTGGAGAATTGTTGCTTTCCCATTAGCTACAAGACACAACAGATGATAAACCTACTAGCTGGTCCATTGTGTACCAGTTTGCAACCATCCAACAGCAACATAAGCAGCTCTACGTTGATCTTGCAGCCTACTGTTTTACAGAGCTCTCTCCCAAATAGAAAAAACCTTTCCAATATTCACTCTAGTCCAGCTTCTTGCTCGGTTACTCTCTCTTTTTCTCTGCAAAGTAAATGTGTTTCATTTGAATCTCCAGTTAAGTTTCATGTGTTCAGCTTTATTCATCGGACTTTTCCTTCTTTACATGTCTTCAGTTCAGACCAGGTGATTACACCTCAGACCCCTGATTGGCTAAAGAATGGGGAGTGGGCGGGGTTGGTACTGCAGGACATGGCAGACACTGGACGAACAATAGAGGACGTTCACGACGAAAGTCACGACGACGAGTGTTTGTTTATTTATTTTCGTCCCTTGTCGCCCCCTGGTGGTGGTGGTGAGGCCTTACCTGGGATGACTGAGATAGTTTTCAGGGCTCTCAGCACTCTAAAGGTTCTCAGCGCCTGCAGGTTCCCTACTTTGATAAACTCTGTTAACAGCCTGTAGAGGGCAGTGTGGTGGTTGTCAACATACAACACAAGGAGAAAAACATAACAAAGTCTGAAAATACTGCAGTGAATTTATAGTCCAACCCTGACTTGTCAGAGCACAAACAAAACAAAAAAAAGTGTATGAATTTGAGATCAGTTTTAAAACATTGAAAAGTTAGTGTCAGTATGTTTGGGGGTTTCATTTAAGCGTGGCTCACACTGCAGGATAATCGGGTCGATTTGAGCCTTGATTCTTCCTTCCCGACAATCGCAGGATCTCTCCCGACTCAAGGCTGCTCAGAACCGATTATCTTGTAGTGTGAGTGGTACAAAGATCCAATCTTAACGTCCCAGACCTGACCGGCGATCGTTGGGGATGCCCCGATTTATTTCAAACATGTTTGATATTTAGAATTAGGGTCCGGCAGAAGTTGTGTGTGACTGCTCACAAGAGACAAGGGAGGAATGTAGTCATGGCGACCAGCGGCAGGAGGCAACCCGGTGTTTTTTTTTTTTTTTTGGTACAGATCATCAGTGCAGCACTTTTCTGAAACTTGTATCCATATATCTACAATTGTATCTACTTTCCTTTATTCTACAACAACTTCCACTACCTTCTCTTTCACCAACCGCCGTCCGTTGGAGTTTTCAAATGAAACTTTATTAACAACGGTCATTGCTCTGTTCCGATTTCACTCATACAGTGTGAGCTCTCCGGCCATGTCCGACAATCGGGTCATACAGTGTGAGCACATAAATCTCAAGGTCTGGTCGGGCGTCGTAAACGATTCAGTCGTACAGTGTGAGCTGACATGCCACCCCGACTTTTATACAATCGGGGATATATCGCACAGTGTGAGCCAGGCTTTAGGGAATTATTTTTCTAACATATTTGAAGAGATTTTTTATCAATCGAAAAAATGTTGTGTCATTTTGTGGTTTTCATTATTGTTTGTTATTTGAACAAAAATAATTTAAAACTCTAATCTTTGTTTGTAGCTAATATGGAGAAAGGGATCAGCTGTATATTTATACAGAGGAACAAATAACATGTTTTTACTGTTTAATGTAAGTCGTCTTTATCTTGTAGTATGGTGGCTGATAAGTCTCTGAAAATTGTTCTTAAGAAATTAGAAAATATTTTCTAGAATTTAGATGAAGACTACGGAAGCCCTAAGAGGACATGCATCCATACAAATGTATTTTACTCTGTGTTTTCAAGCGATAACAAGCAAATGTATCTTGTTTCCTGTAGACATCCAGGAAGTGACTTGTTATCACGGGAAAACTGAAAACTTGAGATCTAAAAAAACCCAGTAATTACGTGGTTTCACAAGTAAAATAAAATGTATGTATGTCCCTTTAGGGCTTCTGTAGAACACCAAGAGGATATCAAAGGGCGTTTAAATTTATTTGAATGTATTTAATAAATCAAAATAAAGAACATTATCATATATCCAATTTACATGTTAATTGAAAATAAAGCAGTGATATCTGTTCAATCCAGACATGATTGAAAACAATAAAAACTCCATAAAAAAGCAATTACTTCCCAAAACAAACTGTCTATAATGAGTTTCAATTAGATGACAGTTTTGTACCCAGCCTGCCCGTGAGCGTCTCACTCCCTCAACCCCCTGCCTAAAATCGAATCAGCCGAGGCCATGAGAGGCAGAAGGGCGCCGGGCGACGACCGTTCTTTTGGGTCCCCTGTAAGATTGAGTCATCTGATCCTGAGCTGCTAACGGCCCGCCATTACGGCTCATATTTCACCAGCGCTGACTGGCAGGCTGATTGAATTACAGTGGAGGCGGAGGGTGGGAGTACGGCGGTCAGAGCAGGCCGTTTCCATGCAGGTAGAGACAACCAGGCGATAAAACCAGAGACACTTCACACCGGAGAGGGCAAGACGTCAGTGCTCGCCATGTGTCCATATCCAGCAAATGTTGTGTTCATTCTTGTTTATAATGGATGTTTTAAATATTTGAATGGGTCAGTTGGTAAAAAAGTTCTCTCTGTTTTTTTTATGATAGAAAAATAATTATAAGAAAATAATTTACACTACAAAGGGAAATCGAATTGGTTTAACACATCCTCAGCCGAGAAATCTCCTTCCTAAACTCGACTCAATGATACAAAAAATACAAGAGGCGAATGTGTTCGGCTTATGCAGGTGAAGCTTTTGTAGTTTCATAATCTTTCATTTTAAAGTCTTCTGGGGGATTATCACAACAGACTGAAGAAGTGTCTGTAATCACTATCACTAGGATCTCTTGTAATTGTGTCGTTTTATCCACAAAGTAATTTATGTTGTTTTTAATTCCACCAATGTTTTAAGTTTTTCTTCATTTATTCTGTAGATCTTCCTTTTTTATTCCCTCATTGTTGTTTTTGTAAAGCACTTTGTAACGTTGGTTTTGATAAATGTTATACTAACAACTTCATCAACTCATTATTAACGTTGCAGTGAATCTTGACCTATTCAAAATTTCTACTATTCTGTATTTGTGCTGGCTCTGAAATATTTGGCTCTCTGTTGTTTTATTTATTCAAACCAAAAGTGCTTATTCATTGTTCACGCTTATTAATAACACCTAAGGAATATTTGCCTGACACATTTGGGCTTAAAGATGGAGGTGGACTCAGCTGGGTTAATCCCTTCCTCCTCCATGAACTGAGTCCGGCTGAACTTTCCTGCTGCGTCCATTTACAGGGACCTGTTTGATGGACTGCTAGCTAGGGTCAGTACCAGAATTCCTCTGATGGGCACCATCTAACAGCGTTCTGTTTCATCTGTGACACTTCTGTCCATCAGTCTCCACTGAGTGACAGTTTGACTGAATCTAGAAAGTCACACATCGACTCAAATCTGTCTTACTGCAGCACTGTGAATAAACAGATTTAGTGAGATTTAATGAGGACAAACTGGCTAAAAGGATGCTGAATTCAATTACAGTATGAAGAAGATATGTACACAGTTTGAAATACTGCTTTGTCATGTTTCTTTGCACAAAAACAAGCAAAGAAATGGACCATCTATTTATGAAGCAACTGTTGGCGTCAGGAGAGACTGAACTCTGAGAGGCAATCGTCCTTTCGAGTTGAAAAAGTTCTTGTTATGCTGTTATGATCCCTGTAATGGCTAAAGGACGAGTGGAGAAACAATAAAAATAAAAATAAAGTTTAGTTGTAATTTTTATTCATGTGAAACGTGCACTATAAAGAAAGTTTTACTGTATTTAGAAACTCACAAATCAGCTGAATTAATCGGTCTTAAAACACTATGAAGCCAAAATAAACATCTGTTACTGTAATTTTAATCATATATGATCAGTCAGGTCTGTTTAATAATGTTAAACATGCTTGTTTTGTGAATGGAGTTTTGAATGGCTAAATGGCTTCTCATGCAGCATCACCATGTGAGCAATATTTTTACTTGTGAAAAAAAGCTTCTTGTGCTGGCGTCCACAATTAAGATGCTAGAAATGAGAGAGAGATTAATGAGCATTATTGTAATGCTCTTGTACAGGCAGGTTTCTACCTTACATCCAAGCACAAATATTTGTTAAATTGAATTGTTTCAAATCAGATTCAGTGCCAAACCTGATCGATTGTGCTTTAGTATAACAGGGTCATATTTATTTTTTTAATGAGGATTTGCCGATGAGATTATGAAGATAAAAAGATAAGAGCTGTTGCACCTTTAAAGCTGTGAAAGTAGCTGACGAGTCTGCTGCTGCTGGTCTGTGATCACAACCATTAACATGTCATTACACCTGCAATATCAGGAACACAGGGGCAGGCCGAGTGTGTGTGCGCGAGCGTGTGTGTGTGTGTGGTGTTAGGGAGGCGGGGGATGATTTTAGACTCTGTTACCATGGGAATCCTGACTTGGTGGGAGGGGAGGTGAGCATCAATCAGCCATTTAGTATGTTTGTGTGTGTGTGTGTGTGTGTGTTTGTTTCAGGATGGGTGTGTCTATTTACTGACCATCACTCTGGTTTTAATAAAGCCGGGCACAGAGGGGTGATGTGTCAGGGGCGGAGAGTGTGTGTGCTTGCAGATGGTAAGGATGTGTGTGTGCTCATACATGGCATTTTTGTGTTTGTGTATGACCACACATAAAGTTAACAAGTTCTCCATCGTTGAAGTGTCTGTGTGTGTGTGTGTGTGTGTGTGTGTGTGTGTGTGTGTGTGTGTGTGTGTGTGTGTGTGTGTGTGTGTGTGTGTGTGCGTGTGTGTATGTGTGTGTAAAGAGGTGACTTATGTGTCCCTGTCCTGCTAAAGATCCATCTGACCGCAGGATGGCCCTCGGTTCAAGGACACACACACCTACTGACTTCATGTGCACTGGGTGTGTGCGCGCGTGTGTGCGTGTGTGTGTGTATGTGTGTGATCTTACAACAGCAATACGTTGTCACCAAACATTACACACGATCCACACACCAGACGAAGGATGAGGAAAGAAAATAGTGTTGTGTTTTCTTTTGACGTTTTTTTTCTTCTCCATTTTCTAAATCAACTTTAAAGACTCAATCTCCCAGAATGCCTTTCTCACCGACGCTTAAATACGGCTTTTCTTATCCTTGTAGGGATAAAGCCTTAAGAGTCCAGAGTCATTAACCTGATTATTTCAGACCTCACGCTTAAGTTTTACATTTTTTGTTGTGTTGAATATTTTCAGGTGTGAAATAAATGAACAGTTTTAGACCAACTAAGCATCAGAAGACATTACATTTACATGTGTAAATCTACGCTCAGACAATAATTGGTGCTTGTAGACTTCTAAATCAAATCCTCAAATTAACAGCTTCATTTGTTCGTCTGAATTATCTCCACAGTCTCACTGCAGGATGCTTCTAATGTATCACGTTTATCTCACTTATATCTCACATGTTGTGTGGAAACCTGCTGAACCATCTTTGTTTTTATGGCACAGAAAACTACAAAAACTTTAGCCTCTTAAATTACATTAAAGGGGAAACAAAATGAACTCAAGCTTGTATTTGTTTTACCTTTAAATAATAGAGATATTTATTTGCATATCCTGTTGTAATTAGATTTAACTTTATTTTTGACGCCTACTATTTAACATAAAAACATGGAATGCATGCTAAATGGGCAGGAAGACTTCCATCCTGAGTGACACAAAGAGATCCAGAGAGTTAGATTATATTTAAGATTATTTTTTGACTAAACCTGACCACCCATGGTGTAGACGACAGCTTCTGAGCTGCCCACAGCCACAGAAACAAACCCCAATAGACTCAAGACATTTCATCTAATGCCGGGTACAGAGTACGATTTTTGGACGTCCCAGACTAAAGCTGATCAATTGTGGCAAAATTTGTGGTTGAGAGTCCAAAACTGTGGTCCTATACGTCGCATTGTGAGAGGGGATTAAAGATAACGTATCTGATGAATATTAGGCAGCATCACCAAGAGGTGCCCACTTACCCTCACTTTTTTAAATATCACAGAAACAGAAAGTTCCACTGTGAGTAACACCAGATGGAACAAACTGTCACTTGCATTAAGTCCGTTCTAAATAAATAAGAGAAACCTAGAGGTGTGCTCTCCTGTTGTGTTGAACTTAACTCGTACTGAACCGTGACCTCTATGAACCGGTTCACCCTTCATAAAATGTAACGGTCTCTTTGTTAACCACATAAAGCAGCGGCCGATGATGTGCTGCATGCAGACTGAATGTAAAGTACACATC